AAATAAAACCTTTGTAATTGGATGCATACCCAAGAAAAACACACTCTATGGTTTTAGCTTGTAACTTGGATTGAATATAAGGTCTCAATAAAGGAAAGCAAGAACATCCAAACACCTTAAGATGTGTTAAAAGAGGAGGAGTCCCAAAAAGCATTTCAAACGGTGAGCAATGTTTCAAAACTGGGGTAGGCATTCGATTTATAAGATAGACAGCAACTTGGCAAGCAAAAGTCCAGAAAGAAGAAGGTAACTTGGCAGATTGTAACAAGGTGACAGTAGTTTCAACAATATGTCTATGTTTTCTCTCGGCCAAGCCATTTTGTTCTGGAGTATGTGGACAAGACTTATGATGAAGTATCCCTTTACTGTGAAGAAAGTTGTTAAGTTTATTGCTGCTATATTCCCCCCCCCCACCATCAGTTTGTAAAATCTTAATAGAAGCAGAGAATTGAGTGTGTACAAAGGAGTAGAAGACAACAAAAGTCTCAAAGAAGTCTGATTTATTAACAAGAGGGAACAACCAACAATACCTAGTGCACCCATCAATAAGAGTCACATAGTACTTGTATCCATCAATGGAATTACACGGAGAAGGACCCCAAAGGTCACTGTGTACAATTTCAAATGGAATGACAGATTTGTGTTCACTAGACTGAAAAGGCAATTTAGTGAACTTGCCCTCTAAACAACTATGACAGAGCATAGGAGCAGAATCTTTGGTACAAGATATGTGAGACCTACTAAGCATAAGAGAAGCAACATTATTGGACGGGTGTCCTAACCGATTGTGCCAGAGATTAGAGCTAACAAGTTGTCCAAGCAATGCAAAATCTTTAGAATTGCCGTGAGAAGGAAGGGAATGAGGATCGACAAGAGAAGGAATAGGATAGAGTCCATTACTACATTGGCCCTTGTATAATATCCTCCATGTGGCTTTGTCCTGGATCCAGAAACAAAAAAGCATCAAAACACCAACCAACAATTGTTATCAAGACAAATGCGATGAACTGACAACAAATTGTGAGATAGTTTAGGCACATAGAGAATTGAGTTCAATTTGAGGGGCTGCACAGGTGTTTGAATAATAGAACTACCAATATGAGATATTTCCAAACCTGCACCATTAGCAGTTTGCACTGTCTCATTAGAGGGATAGGGAGAGGCCAATGACAAATTACTGAGATCTGTAGTCATATGATTTGTGGCCCCCGAGTCAGTGAGCCAAATTTGTGGTTGATGATGAGGTGTGGTAGCTGAAGATGACGGAGAAGAGACTGTATGCAGAGCCTGAAAATTGGACTGAGGAGGTGCAGAAGGAGCATACGCATTGCTTGACATATGAGGATAGTTTAGACCACCAAAATTGGGACCTTTGTCATTGAAGAAGCAATACCAGGTAGTATGATTCCTCTTACCACAGATTTGACAGCCCTGTCGTTCCAACGGTTTTGAATGACAAAACGGAGCAGTGTGACCAAGTTGATTACACAATTGACAAGGAACTTGCTGTGGAGAGGAATGACCAAGATCTTGTGACGGAGAGGGTCCAAGAACCCCAGAGAATACAGGTGCAGGATGAGATCCATGAGCTGGAAACTGCTGTCTAGGATTAGGAGGATGATACTTATATCCCTGATTAGATCTGCATTTACCCTTCTTATTGTTGTAGAAAGAGCGATATCCACCAGATGAACCAGAATTATGTCCTGAAGCACCAGGAGGAAGACCCCTATATTGATGTTGAGATGCAGAGAATTTAGGACCACCAGAGTCATTTGCCACCATGGCAGACATAAACTGAGATGGCACATTACTGTCAACAATCAATTCTTCAGCAAGAAGTTGCACCCTGAATTCTTGGAGAGAAATAACACTCTCACGACCCCTAATAACACTTCGGAAAGTATTAAACTCAGGAGGTAGACCATTGAGGGCTAAAATAACAATATCCTCATCTGCAAAGATCACTCCAGCAGCAGAAAGATAATCCCGAGCTTCCTTAATTCTTTGGAGATATCGAGACACTGAATCAGCCCATTTCTTAATGGTTTGAAGATTCGACTTGAGCTGAAATATACTAGTTTTAGAGACAGCAGAAAATTGTTCCTTTAACCTGGTCCAAAGATCACAGGCACTTGTGCTTCCAATAGCACAAGAGATCGCAACAGGAGACAAAGTTGCAGTAATCAATTGCATAAGAGCACGATCATGCATCTTCCAGACAATGTAATCTTCATTCTCAGATGGAGTGGAGGATGTCTCAGCACCAACACCAGAAGCATTAGACGAACCAGTAATATAGCGAGATGGACAAGGAGTGGAGCCATCAACAAAACGCATAATACCGTGCCCTTCAAGCAATAATTGCATTTGAAATTGCCAATTCAAGTAATTAGAATCATCAAGCTTAACATTCACAGATGTAGAAATCGTAGAGATAAGACCAGTAATAGGTGATTGAAGGAGTTGTAATTGAGAAACAGTAACCATCGTTGTAGACGTGAAATGAAAAATCAACAGAGGAAATATCACAAACACCTGGTGTGCACAATCTTGAATTCGCAGGAAAAACGAGATCAAGAAAACCAGAAACCCTAGAAATCACAAAATAAGAGAATACAGAAGGCGACAAAGACGCAGCAATGTACCGTCGTCGAGAAACAGAAAGGATGATAAATCGAGAGATCAAGCGGAAGCAGCCGAAGAATCGAAGAAAATAGCATGAGCAACAATGGCGATTGATACCATGTTAATACAGAAAATGAAGAGATCAAGAAAGAAGAACAGAGCTTCAAGAACTAGAGAGGGAAAGATTTAGAGAGAGGGAGAACTATTGAATCTTTATTATTTTCTGTTTTTTTGCTTAATCTCAAACTATTACAATGATGTATTTATAGAAAGAACACATTCTCTAACAACTTAACTAACTAAGAGTTATAATCCTGTGACAGATGGCACAATCCTAGCCACTGTCTATATCTATATCCTTACAGTATGGGGTTGTAATAAACCTCAAAGCCTAAGAGGCTACTGTGTAATTTACCCTTGAACTTATTACTATATTTTACAGAAGCACTATTTGATGTGATCATGATCATGAATTGCATTATGTAATTGATTCGTTGAAACCCAAAACCCTAAAACAGTGGATAAATTGACCCAATGGTCTCCATTGCAATGACCCTAGCTAGACCCTAATGCCAAAGAGATCCAGAAGGGAATTCGATCTGGTTCTTCTAGGGCTTTGCATACCTAATAGGTTGTATAATCTGCATGCAAGCAGTTTATATCTAATTAATATTAGGAGAAGTTGCTGCTAAAAGTGAGTCATTCATGAGTTGCATTTGCCTTGGAATTCAGGGTTAGGACTTGGAGGTATTGGATAGGAGATCTACCGATTCAGGACTCGAAGCAATAAAGGGCAAATCATATAAGGTGAAATTGACTTCCATTTAGCAAGTGACCACTTGCCAGATTTGACAAAATGCAGCAAGTTATGAACAATTATTTAGAGGAGATGTCATAGAGTTTAGCGGAAAGCTAGTTCAGTTGTACCGAATCTGAATTTAGATATTCATAGAGGTACATAATTGACAGAACTTGTCTTTATTGTAAAGTATATTTGACGTATTATATTTTCTGAGTCGGAAAGAAGAACAAATATGGGTTGACAAAACCTCATGCTGGTATTTGTCATCACTAGTTTGAAAGGACGTTTTTGAATTGTTGTAAATATGATTTGGATGCAACAAAAATATATAAATATCCACATAGTGTGGTCTCAGATCACTTCTCAAATCATTTCAACCAGATTTTGATCTTGGTAAATGATTGCCATAATATTAAGTTAATTATGAAGAACCAACACCTAAACTATCTATTAACAAAATCCTCTTCGTCAATTAAAATAGTGTAAAACAATCAAACAACTCTATCAACAAAATTAAAGAAAAATAACCAAAATAAAAGTTAGGAGCAATATTTCAATTGCTCATAAGCGCATGCATCATTTTATATTTTCTCTCTTTATAAATTTTATTTATAAAACTTTCATAAGCAGATGCATAACACGTGTACAATTGCTAATAATTATTAATTAATTATAGAGCTAACACATATGTATCACATTGAATTGATCACGATAGTATGAGAACACTCGACTACTATGGTGGGCTGACAAGACTGAGCTCTAGGAGTGCAATAGCATCACTTGGGGCCTAGTTTGGTCTTGGAGTAACTGAAACAAACAAACAAAGAATCAACTTGTGTTTCCAATGGCCTACCCAACTGGACAAACCTGGAGCCACTCTCAACCACTTAAAAAAAGCAATTGGTCCTCCACCCAAAATCCTTGTCCTTGAGAGTCCTAAATTCAAGTATTCTTTCAACCCTACACCAACAAAATATGCTAATTATTATTAGAGGGCCTACTCTACATTTGGGGTTGTGTTTGTATGGTTCATGTTTTGGTGATTTGATACAAAAGGGCAATGGTGGAACTATCAAATTCCTAATAGGCGATTTTTCACTCTTGTTTTCTCTTTCTGTGTGAAAGTCAATCACTTATTTTCTTCAAATCAATCCAACGTTGCGACATCATTTCACAAACAAGAGTACTTTTTCTCAAGTATTTATTTGTACAATCTAAGCCACTAGGATTAGACTATTGGTGAGGAGGGGGAGATTTTTCAATGTACTCGGGACCCAGTCTGGTACATCACTTTGGAGGAACACTTGAAAATAAAAATTTCTCCAATTATTTTATGACGTGGTGTACCAGGCTGTGTTCTGGTAACATAGAAAATATGTTGCGAGGATAAGTAGTGTGGTGGACAGGAGTAAGACATAGGGTTCGAAATCCTTTAATATAATAAAATGAAGATTACTTCTACAGTCCAATTGAGGTCGTTTGCACCGATGGAATATAACTAGTAAGCTTTCTAGAGAGAGGGGTGTTGAGTAATTCTATAGGCTTTTATAAATGGGCCTTGAAAGAATTTGTGATCCAATTTCACATGGCCAGGCCCAAGGCCCAAAACCGATACCACCGAGGTTCAATATCCATTTTCACAACTTATCACCACGCCCGTCGTACAACAGCTTGCTCCATACCCAAAGCTCTCCAAACGACTCCGTTGGCTCCGCCGCGGGCGCCACCGCGCCCATCGTCAGCAACACTCTGTAACATTCGCCGTTGGTAAAATTCATACTCTTTATTGATTATATCTTGATTTTGTTGGATTAAATTATGCAATTGATTTGCTTTAGCGATTTTGCCCCCTTTCTGCACCAAAACAGATGAAACGCTATGCTGTAGATTCAGTTAGGGTTTAGGGTTTAGGGTTTATGACGCAGAAATCACAAGCTACATTGTTTCCAAAGCATCAACTTTGTTTGCAAAAGGTAGCCCATGATGGAAGAACTTACCCGGTTGTAGCCAATGACAATTCTCTCTTTGTTTTTGCACATCTAAGAGCTGGTAGGCCGTTATCGGTAGATTGTTGAACATAAGTCCGCATTCTTTTGTACCCTTGTGCATTGATATTGTGTATTTATTTGTGTGCAACATTTTAATCCCAGTTAGCAACTTATTCATCTACAAATCTTATTACTGTATAGACTAAATGAGTTATGTATTTGGGTTTTGACACTTGCATTGTACTCGTTTTGTTAGGCTGCTGACCAGGCTGATCCTGGCTCAGATTGGTAAAGAGAGCCTTTTAACCACTTAACTGTCCAATCAAATCATAGAATTGTTGAACTGCTTATGGAGTGTTGTTAGATGCCCCTTCGAGTACCTACTAGAACGTAGAAGCCATCTCGAGCACGTAGTTCTGAAAATTGTGTTTTGAAATTGTTTTGTTAAGTATTACTTTTATATGATTGTTAAAGATTGTTTACTTTCAGGAAAATGACTAATTTGACAATTTTGATCAAGTATGATGGGAAGTGGGTGAATTCCTCATATAGGGGTGGCAAAACTAAGGCATTAGTTGTTTCTGAAAAACTTACTTATGAGGAGCTTCAAGATAGACTGTATGGTCTCATGAAGGTCGACCCAAATGAATATGGAATTATAATGAAAGCTGTATATAGTGGAAAGTCTCATCCGTATCCTGCGGAAGTAGTAGATGATAATGACGTGGCTGCATTTATTTGTGAGAGTGTTGCACGGGACTGGAAAATTCCATTGTGCGTTACTCTTGAATGCAGGGTATTAGCTTCTGGAAGTGGAAGTAATCAACAAGCTCCAATCGGCCTTGCAACTCATACTACAAAATCTCATTCATTAGATCCCCACACTCAACATGAAGAACAAAATTCCTTTGACTTCATTTCCAGTCCAATGCCAATGGACTTCAGTTCAGGGACTCAAGCAAATTCGGATTGTGTTGATGGATTGATCCATGATGATTTCGAAAATGATAAGGAGCATGATAATATAGAAGTTGATGTGGAACAAAACAACCTGCAACATGATGATGTGCCTTGTGACAAGCTGCAACTTTCTGAGGTGCCTCAGCCAAACTTGCAATTTGATGATTTGCCTCATGACAGCAGGCAATTTGATAATATGTATCATGAAAATATGCAATTTTGCGATCATCATCTCAATCCTCCTAAATCTCTACCTCGAGCTCGGTCTTGGCGTAAACTCACAGAAGAAATGGTTAATAGGATGCTGAATTCGGGGTTGAAAGCAGGGGGAGATATGGAACTAGGTTCAGTGTACAAGAGCAAAAAGGATTTACAGAAGATGTTAGCCCTTGCTGCAATTAAAAGAAGTTTTGAGTTCAAAGTTAAGAGGTCCACGAGAAAGAGATTTTCTGTTGAATGTGTGAATGACAACTGCGCGTGGAAAGTCCATGCAACCAAGTCGCCAGACTCTGATTATTTCATGATAACAAAATATGATAGTCGCCACTCTTGTTCATCAGATGCTAAAAATCTCAGTTCGTTAGATGCAAAAAATGGCAGTCACCGACAAGCAAGCAGCTTGCTCATTGGTGAGTTTGTAAAGTCAAAATACAAGGGTGTTTTGTGCCAATGCAAGCCGAAAAATATCATTGAGGATGTGCAGAAAGATCTTGGAGTGAATATAAGTTATTCGACAGCTAAGAGGGTTTTGGATTGTGCATTGAAAGATGTTGGGGTATCATCACCAGAACTTTCTTCTAAACAGGCGTCAAGTGAAAGGTGCAAGAAGGAAAGAACTCCGTCTCAACCAAAAAAAATGTCCCGTGGAGAAGAGCAGTCTACACGGAATTGTGGAAAATGTGGCTCAACTGGTCATTACCGTAAAACCTGCAAGAACCCTATTACTCTTCATCTTAATTCCGAAAGTGAGTTTGCTGCCTAGAACTGGGGCGTGGATAGCCCTAAACTGTAGTAAATTATTATCTAGAGACAATGCATTTTTCATCTTTTCTACTGTTGTAAACTTTTCATGTTTTCATTGACACTTTTTATTAAGCTTTGAAACTAGCTTGACATAACTTCAAGTGATGTAGCTGAAACAAAAAGTTTTGAAGTACTTTACTTGAAGCCTTCTGAGCCTGCTGGAAAAGATTTCAAGTATGGTACATGAAACCATTTGAACATTCAAAATGGTTATGAAAAGACTACTGAAAACAAGTTGAGTCCAACCCAAAATGGTTCAAGCTTAGCATTTTGAACGATGTTGAAGAGAACTACATAAAACCCAACTGCTTGGGCTTGTTATGGTTTGGAGTAAGATTTTGACATCCTTTGTATGTCGTATATTCTTACCCTCAAAGGGAGCAGTGCAGAAAAGGGGTATGATGCTTACTATTCATGTGAAAATGATGTTATTTTGGCTTAATACTCCAGCAGTGAAGAATGGCGTGAAACAAGGGGCTTTATGGCTTCTCTAGATCCACTGGTGAAGCAAAGGTATGTGTAGTTTTTAATTTTAATTTACGGGTTTTTAAATTTTTTTACAAGAGTATGGTCTTATTGTGGCCTTCGGTTTCCACAGATTTTAAAGATTTATCATTTTCAGTTATTTGGCTTAATTGGAAAGCTGCTATCAGTTAGCTTTATGAGTTTCCATAGCAAGGGGGTTTGCAATTTGCAGTTGTCTCGCTGATTTTTTTTGAGTTTTCTTTATGGACGTCTACATGAAGAAGAGTCATTGATGCTTAAGAAAAATAAAATTGATTTGTTAAAAAAAAATAAAATTACATGAGCAGCAAACACGTCGCAGAATAACGGTCATAGAACTGCAATTATTACCCTATGTATAACAAGGTCTATGACATTTATTCTGCACCGAGTTCACTACTCATGTAATTTTATTTTCCTTATGCATTAGAGCGGATGATTTGTCATCTTGGATCTATCTTGCAAAAGAATAGAGAATGAGATGGAGATCTCAACCATAGAATACAAGTTGGATGGATGAAGTGGAAGAGTGCATCGAGTTTGTTGTGCGATCTTCATATGCTGCTAATGCTCTAGGAAATTTTTTACTGGACGATAATAAGGCCAGCAATGCTTTATGACATGGAGTGTTGGGCGGTCTAAAGTCAATACGTGCAAAAAGGTGAGTGTAGTGCATATGAGAATGCTTATGGATGTGTGGGCATGCAAGAAACATAGGATTAAGAATGATGATATCTGAGGTAAAGTAGGAGTGATCGCAATTGAAGATAAGATGAGAGAAAATCGGTTAAGGTGGTTTGGACACTTGAACCGAAGACCTGTAGATGCTTTGGTTAGAAGATGCGACTATGAGACGGAAGCTTAGGGCAAAAGAGGTAGTAAGACCTAGGAAGACTTGGAAATAGACTTTAAGACAAGATATGGAGTACTTGGAGCTAAAGGGAAGACATGGCGCAAAATCGAGCGCAATAGCATTCCAGAATTCATACAGCCGACGCTACTTAGTGAGATTAGGCTTGGTTGTTGGTTTGTTGGGTATTAATGGCTCCCCTTTATATATATCCATGCTGATAGGATTGATTTAATGTTTCCAACGCATGAGCTGTATGTGGCAACTTTTTTTTATTGTATTTGTGTAACGTGTCTTCTATTCTTAAATGAGTTTTATGAGGATTTGTCATTTTCCAAATATCTCCTTTATCAATAGGTTTTGTAGCATCCCGACACACTAATATAACAGAGAAAAGAAGCAAGGCTTCTTCCTCACCGCTTCATTGTTTTTGCTTATACTTCTATCTTCTTCTTCTTCTTCTTCTTCTCAAAGGCCCTGTTAAGGGTTGCCGTTTTCACTTCAACAATGAATTTCCGTTTAACCCCTAAGAAAGAAAAGGCAGAGAAACATGTGGGCGTCCATTGCTTCTATTGCAAAAGGGTGTGACAAAATCGCCAGGCTCTAGGGGGTCATCTTAAGGTTCATAAGGAAGAGATCAATGCAAAGAGGAGCCAGAGGTATGATAGCCATTTCAGCAACTCAGAAATTACGACTCACAATGCTCGTCCTTTCAGCATGCTTTATCCTGAAATTTTTTCTGGAGTTGCTGGGAGCAATCCAAGTAATCTCATTGGTAAGTTAACCTCTCCTTTGAATTTCTCCAAGAGATTCTACTCCAATCAAAATAGCCAGGTGAATGTGAGGTTTGTGAGCAAGTCCTATGAGAACAATACGAGCACCATGCCTCCAAAATTTTCATCTAGCAGTGGTCATGCCAAAATCCCAGATTCTAAACCTTTATCCTTTATGGCTGCATCAGGTTGTACCGCAGTACCAACTGGTATCCCTTCCGGCCTGTCATTCTCTTTTGTCATAAATGGTGTTTGTGAGCTTAATAATGATCAATTTCAATCTTTTACCAATGGTATGCCATACCTTCGGGCTCACATTGATGGTATAATTTCATATCATGTGAAAGCTGTAACTGATCTTGATTCAGATCTCCGCTCAAATCAGTCAGCTTGCTTCAAGGAACGTAGTACTGGTGGTTCCTTGCCTCCACATCCCAGTCAATCTTCTGGCCAGGGCGAAATCGGTCGGTGTAAGACAGAGACTGTCTTAACCTCTAAGAAAAGGAAGCGGTGCTCCTTACATGAAGCCAGAGGAAGTGCTGAGATGATGAATGCACTAAAAAGGCCTAAGATCAACTCTGAGCTGTCAATGGAAACAGATAAGCCTCCACATCTCAGTCAATCTTCAGGCCAAGGTGAAATTGGTCTGTATAAGACACAAACTGCATTAAACTCTATAGGAGGTAAGAGACACTGCTTTGGTGAAGGAGGTGGAAATGCTGAGATCATGAATGCACCGTCAATGGAAAGAGATAAGCCTCCACATCTCAGTCAATCTTCAGGCCAAGGTGAAATTGGTCTGTATAAGACACAAACTGCATTAAACTCTATAGGAGGTAAAAGACACTGCTTTGGTGAAGGAGGTGGAAATGCTGAGATCATGAATGCACCGTCAATGGAAAGAGATAAGCCTCCAAAGAGAGAGCTTCTTCTTTTTAAAGATTCAGAGAACTGCTTTTCAGGATCAGGAATAGCTTCAAATGTGGAGGAAAACCAAACAAATCTTGATCTCTCTCTACATCTGTAGCTTTGTATGAGCTATATTACAAAACTCTGAGCGAGCATGGACCAGATAAGCCTCCAAAGAGCTTTCTAGAGATGAAACTCCTTTTTCTGGGTCACAAATAACTTTTATGCGAAAGAGGAGGGCCAAATAAGTCTAGACCGGTCTCTAATTTGTAGCTTTATCCATGCAATGTGTTTGTAAGTAGTGAATATTATAAATAGATATGGGTTTGATAAAAGGGCATTAGCTCTCTCTCTCTCTCTTTCTCTCTCTCCAAATAAGTCTAGACCGGTCTCTAATTTGTAGCTTTATCTATGCAATGTGTTTGTAAGCAGTGAATATTATAAATAGATATGGGTTTGATAAAAGGGCATTAGCTCTCTCTCTCTCTCCAAATAAGTCTAGACCGGTCTCTAATTTGTATCTTTATCTATGCAATGTGTTTGTAAGCAGTGAATATTATAAATAGATATGGGTTTGATAAAAGGACATTAGCTCTCTCTCTCTCTCTAAACAACAACAACAACAACAACAACAACAAAGCCTTTTCCCACTAAGTGGGGTCGGCTATATGAATCCTAGAACGCCATTGCGCTCGGTTTTGTGTCATGTCCTCCGTTAGATCCAAGTAATCAAGTCTTTTCTTAGGGTCTCTTCCAAAGTTTTCCTAGGTCTTCCTCTACCCCTTCGGCCCTGAACTTCTGTCCCGTAGTCACATTTTCGAACCGGAGCGTCAGTAGGCCTTCTTTGCACATGTCCAAACCACCGGAACCGATTTTCTTTCATATTTCCTTCAATTTTGGCTACTCCTACTTTACCTTGGATATCCTCATTCCCAATCTTATCCTTTCTCGTGTGCCCATACATCCCACGAAGCATCCTCATCTCCGCTACACCCATTTTTGTGTACGTGTTGATGCTTCACCGCCCAACATTTTGTGCCATACAACATCGTTGGCCTTATTGCCGTCCTATAAAATTTTCCCTTGAGCTTCAGTGGCCTACGACGATCACACAACACGCCGGATACACTCTTACACTTCATCCATCCAACTTGTATTCTATGGTTGAGATCTCCATCTAATTCTCCGTTCTCTTGCAAGATAGATCCTAGGTAGCGAAAACGGTCACTTTTTGTGATCTTCGCTAGATTGCTCCGGTCATTAGTGTGGATAAGTATATAAATGGATAGAGATAGGAAAGCAAACACAAGATGTACGTGATTCACCCAGATTGGCTACGTCCACGAAATAGAGGAGTTCTCATTAATTGTGAAGGGTTTACACAAGTACATAGGTTCAAGCTCTCCTTTAGGGAGTACAAGTGAATGATTTAGTACAAATGACATTAGGAAATATTGTGGGAGAATGATCTCGTAACCACGAAACTTCTAAGTCCCGGAGTGTGGTATCGGCTTGACTTTCCTTATCTGTCTCATAGGTAGATGTGGAATCTTCTCTGGAAGTACTCTTCCTCCGTCCAGGGGTGGTATCTGTAACTGGTGGAGATGCACAAGGTAATGTATCAATGTCACTTGAAGCTTACTTGTAGTTTCAGGCTTGGTCAAGCGCGATACAAACCATGTAGTAGGAGTCCCCCAAGTCGCCGAGCTAAGGGATCTGCTGAAAGAGGTAACAGACAAGGTAAGCAATCAGAGCTCCGGCTGATTGTTCACATTCTCCCTATCTTGCAGGCAGCATGAAGGATAAAGAGAAGAAAAATGAGAAGAGATGATATGAGATACTTTTGCTTTTGAAGAAGTAACTTTCCACAGGCTTATTCTTGAACTGGGCTGGAGGGTTTTCTGGTTTCCTCCAAAGTATAAGGCCGACTGAAGAATTTGAGGGTCAAAACAAGTCCATCAAATCTAGAGTACGTTCGACCCTGCTGATATGGGATACTTTTGCTTTTGACAGAGTAGTGGATGTATCGGCACGTGTGCTGTTACGCTTGTCTCCACATGCTTCCTTGTATCCTTCTCACTTGCCCTATCTGTTCCTCAGGCAGATGCGGTATCTTCCTTGGAAGCATAAGATGTTGAAGATGAGTACTCGAGAGCAATGCCAGGGTAAGGGGTTCCAGGCAGTCAGTTCCTGGCTGGAAGCTTGATTCCAAGTGCTGACTGATTGCTCTCTTTCTCCTTGTCTTGCAGGTAAGAACAAGGCCAAAGGAAAAGACAGGGAAAAAGCATGATATGGGATACTCTTGCTTTTAACCCTGATGATATGAGATATTCTTGCTCTAGTATAGCTTGTTTACAGAGGTATTATCGGGGGGAAAGAAAGCTGAATATTTCGAAAGGCTTCGTTGGGAGTGCCCTCTCAGATAAGAGGAAGGGTTGAGCATTTTTGCAAGTCTGCCTGTCCGTTGGGGATGGAGGTCGACATATATAGGAGTCTCCCTAACATCAAGTAATAATGCTATTCCTTTACCCTGCTTGGTCATAGCACGGTAGTGGGAGCTGCCAGCTTCACAAGTTTTAACTCTGTCAGAGCACTTTGAAAAAGTGGTCTGTGGTATCTGGAAAGCTGATGTTGCGTGTGAAGATTACAGACAAGCTTTATCCAAGGAGATCCGGCTCTTGAAGTTGGGAAAGTGGTGCCTCTTCGGTTTTCGAACAAGCAATCCTGTCGGGGATCTGGCTCTTGAGATTCGGAGAACGATGCCTCTTCGATTTTTGAGAAAGCAATCATGCTGGGGGTCTGGCTCTCGAGATTCGGAGAGCGGTGTCTTCGATTTTTGAGAAAGTAATCATGTTGGGAGTTGGGAGTGTTTTCTCGAATATGAGAGTAAAGGTTGGGCATGTTTGCTAGTCTACCTTGCCACGAAGCACAGAGGTTGACACACAGGGACTTTCCAATTATCCAGCAGTGGTACTGTTCCTTTACCCTCTCTTCGATTTTTGAGAAAGTAATCATGTTAGGAGTCTGGCTCTCGAGATTCGGAGGGCGGTGCCTCTTCGATTTTGGAGCAAGCAATCTTGTTGGGGTGTTTTCTCGAATGTGAGTAAAGGTTGGGCATGTTTGCTAGTCTACCTTGCCACGAAGCACAGAGGATGACACACAGGGACTTTCAAATTATCCAGCAGTGGTACTGTTCCTTTACCCTCTCTTCGATTTTTGAGAAAGTAATCATGTTGGGAGTCTGGCTCTTGAGATTCGGAGGGCGATGCCTCTTCGATTTTGGGGCAAGCAATCTTGTTGGGAGTGTTTTTCTCGAATGTGAGTAAAGGTTGGGCATGTTTGCTAGTCTACCTTGCCATGAAGCACAGAGGTTGACACACCGGGACTTTCCAATTATCCAGCAGTGGTACTGTTCCTTTACCCTTGTGGGTAATAATATGGTAGCTAGGCCGTCAAAATTTATGTGTCTAAACTTTGTTAGTGTTGTTTCTTTGCTATTCTTTTACCCTTCTTGGTCAGAGCGATGTAGTGAGAGTTGCAAGCTTCACGTGTCTCGACTTTGTCAGAGAACTTTGGCAAAGTTATATGTGGTACCCATGAGCTACTGTTGCGTGTGGGAAGTGGGTGATTGAACAGTACGATTCATGTGCTTTCTACTTCGCCAGAAATCTTCGACAGAATGCCCATAATTTCCGCAAAGCTGAGTGTGCGTGTGACAGGTGCTGACAAGGCTGGAAATCTTTTCTGTTTTTTTTTTTTTTCATTTATGACTTCATACTTTTCTGATTCTATATCTGCACATCTGGTTGTCTTTCTGTTTCTTTTTCATCCTCGAAGTAAATGTATTGCGTTTAGGAAATAGACTGATATGGTTATTGTGGTGTGCCTCTTTACTTTACTACTATTTATATAAAGTCTACACCTTCAGTTTGGTTTATAAGTTTGGTGGAGTTACCGATCCACTTAAACTTGTTTACGTCTTAAGATCATCTTGGATTATTGTTCTTATACATTATTATCCTGAATACGATAAGGTTTTCAAGTCTTGGTGTCCCTCTTTCTGTACTATCTTTACAATGCATATAATTGTCTGATTTACCTTACATGATTAGTAAGCAACAAAGTTATCACAACAATTTTATTTCTGTTATTCAATAGGGTTGCACAGTAGAGATAAGTACCTTGTCGGTAATTGACATATGGTCCTTGCACTCTCAGAACTACTTGTTATTTTTTATTCTTAAACATTTTGCAGTTGCGTGCGCACAGAGCATTTGGTGCGACTATTACCTGTGATCCTGCCGGTGTAATTGGATCTGTCAGTGATACACATCTATGGGGGACACTTGAAATGTTCACTTTAGCGTTTGCATATGGCCTCTTCTTTGAAGGTGGCAAACGGCCTGGCTCTTGCTGGAGCTTCTGTGGGAAAATTGCTGTATGCCAATTATGGCATTGACCCGTTGAATCTATATTTCATATATTGAGAGAGATTGCAGCAGAGCTCAAAGCATTTGGGAGACATCAGAGTGCCAAGCCAGCTTGTTACTCCTTTTATTGGATTATATGGCCTCAATGCTGGCTAATCCTTAAAGAAAAACACCTGTAGTGTGATAATCTTGAAGGGAGTAGCCTGTTGATCTTCACATGGTATCTGTGGGAGGTTGGCTGGAAGCCAGTTCCCCTATTCTCCAAAACCAACTGGAAGTACAGGTCTTTCTTGCTTAGGAGCCTCCTGAAATGGAATGGCAGAATATGAATGTTGATGTGCCGAGGAGAATGGCATCTGGCGGAATTAGAGCAGGGAAAGTAATTTAAACCAATCTTGGCAAGGGATATTGAAGTAGAAATCTGGGGATTACAGTTTAAGCTTGCAGTTTGCAATTTAGAAGAAGGCACTAAAATATGTATTCAGATTTCAGACGGACTTGGCTATTATTGCAAAATTGATGAAACAAGGTAATGTTATCCACCGTCGCCCCTTTTGAAGTGCAGATTTTTTATGCGGCAATTTGAACACTATACATTACTGCATGTCTATAGAGAGAAGAATGCAGTGGCACACGGGATGGCAAATGGAGCTACAACCCTGATTTGGAGTGACCACGCTAAGCATCTTAGGGCTGTTTGTTTTTCTTCCCCCACCTTTAGAGAATCGTGTTTAGACCTTCGTTGCATTATTTTTATGGAGTCATTGCTGGAAACTTACTGCTGCTTTTCTTTTTCTTTCTTGGTCGATTGGACGTTGTTCTGTTTATGTGCAGATTGCAGATCATGATCAAGGATGTTAATGAGCAGTTGCAGTCATCTGTCAAGAGAAGCTATAGCTTCTTATTGGAAATTTGTCCTATGCTGCTGAGTACGGTGAGAAATGGTAAATTATGCTCTCTATCTCTCTCTCGTTGCACGACATGTTAGGTGATGAGAGAGACATAAAACGTGAGTGTTTGAACCCACGAAGCCAAGTTTTTTTCTTGCTAATAAGACCGGTTGCTTTGATAGTTCATTGTTCTTTTCTGACCAAAACCAGATTATTAACAATGTGGTTTGGTTTGGTGACAGTCTCTATCTTTCACTGTTATCTTCCTAAATTCAGCTGAAAAACCCAACTTGTATTTTTCTTTGAAATTGTCTGCAAACTTGGTATAAAGGGATTTTTAAGTAAAATAACACAGCTTTCCCTAATAAAAATTAAAAAAGGAGTTTTGGGGTGGTAGGTGGTAGGTGGTAGGTGTTGTGAGCAAGCACGCTTTGTGTGGATTCGGTTTCATTCCCACTTGTATTTCTTTCGTTTTCAGTATCATCTCTAAAAGAGTAAAGACAAAACGTATCTCTAAGTTTATTCCTCACCAACATATTTGATATTTGTAGCCTTTTATTTATAGGAAAACTAATGAAATGAGCTTAAAAACTTTGAGTTTTAACGATAAGGATAAAATAAAGCGTAAAGTGAATAGTATCATGATTGACTTTTTAGTCTAAAAGTATGGTTTTTCGTTAAAATGAACAGTACTGCAGACTTTTCGTTAAAACTCTCTTTATTTATTGGGTTAGGACTCGGGAACACACGCTTTTGACATGCATTTTTATAGGGTTTACTTCGTAATGTATTTTAATGATCCAAACAGTCTCTTTCGTGTTTCTTTATAGAATTGTATTAATCCATTTTATTTTTCATTACAAATGAACGTCCATTGATTTTGGATTTGTCTAATTTTTCGTAAGGATGATCTATGCACGATATACTAAAATATAAATAGTTTAGATCGTTGTAATGCATGACGAAGTAGAACCTTATCATAGCAAATGTATGTAAACACCACTTTTCTATCTCTTTCTTTTTTGGTTAATGAGACATCCTCTTTCTTCCCTTTTTGTTAAAGGAGGATAATGGTATCTTTCTCCTTTAGCATTGTGGTACCTCCAACTCCAAGGCTTAATCACACCAAAATTCTTTTCTTCTTAATAAAGGAGAATATCATATGGGAATGTACATGATAGAGAGTTGACAACTTATTCTATTTTTGCATGAAATCTTAACTTTGATTCTGATCTTTATTCGAAAATATGTGTTAATGTGCAAGAGGTAACGATATTTATATCTTATACAAAAAATCGAAAATGAAATATTCAAGCTTTTAAGACTGTACGATCAGTAATGCATTAGGATTATGTTATGTCAAATGTAGTGCTAACTCTACATTTCTTTTTACTTTTCATACTTTTATTAATTTATAATCGTTGAATCGAATAAATTGAGACAAATCGAATGAAAAAATTAACAAAAAATGTGTGAAGAGTAAAAATGAATGTTTTAGTAAATTCCATCCAGTTGCTAGAATTGAACTTAAATTATCAATTAAACACAACACTTGGAGCTAAAACAAACATAGAGTAGGATTCTCTCCCCTCCAAATTCCCTTCCTTCAACTCCTATCTCACTTTCTTCTTTGTTTCTCTTTATAAAGACGTCAATGAAAAATATTGATTTGATTTAATCGTAACCGTTCAAATAAAATTGAATCTAAAAAAAATAGTGGAGAGAATCGTACTCCAATAAACACATCAGCAAAGGGTTATCATTTATCCTAATCTATAGTCAATCTCCTTTTCAATATTTCTGGGTAAGAGTGTACAACTACTTCCACTTTCATCAAGGAGCGTGCAAATCACTCTCCAACTTCTACCAAAACATTCCCCAGTCTTTTATCCCACGTGTATTCTTACTCGGTCATTGGGCGCGTGGTTATTCCTTAATCTAGCATCAAGGAATTTTGTTTGCCACATAATAAATAATCTTTGTTTATGGAGGCAGAGTAGGCCGATGGGTCACCACCTTCTCTTCCTATTTGGATGCAATTGCAAAAACCACTCCTCTCTAAATCTCATCAAGTCACCATCTTTATATAACAATCTTTCAACCCTTTTCTGGTTGTAAGTTACTGTTCTTCTTGCCACTTTCTCTCTCTTCCTTCTTTATCTCTCCTATGCTGCTTCTGTTCATAAGTTGTACAGCTTGTCTGTGTTCTTCTGGGTTTAGTGTTTGATGGATGTTGAAGCTGAAAAGGTAACAAAAAGTTCGATTCTGTGTGATTTTTCTGAACTGGGTTTTTGTTGGCGGTTGGATTTTTTGTGTACTAAAGGCAAAAGATTGGATTTTGAGCTGCTTTCTGAGGTATTTTTGGTTTATCAGATAGTGTGAGTTTTGGGTGTTTTCTGTTTTTTCATCTTGGGATCAAATTTCATAGCTTTTGGTTTTGAATTTGGTGTTTTAATTGGAGATAGTGGTGATTGTGTGTATAGAAAGAACAAAGTTATGATTTGTTCATACATTTGAGTTAAGTTTGGATGTTTAGATTATGATCATGTAAAATAATTTGCTGCTGTAATTTTGTGTAAATTTGGATACTGGGATTGCTTTATTTGCACAAAATCTGTGAAAGATAAGTACTTTTCTTAGTAAGATTATCGGAGACAAATATAAGAACTAAGTTGCATGTAAAGTAAGGGTTTTGGTATATTTTGCTCAAACGGGGAAATATGCAACGGGTTAGATTGTCCTCCCAGCAGGCGCCGGTACACAAGCTAGGGGATTCTCAAATTGCATTATCCCCGAAGTTTAGGTTAGCGGTTATCCAGTCTTCGTTGTTGAATCCTTCCCCGGCATTAGAGTTATCTCTTGAGGAAAACTCCCTCATTCCTGGCCTTCCTGATGATGTTGCACTTAACTGCCTCCTTCGGGTTCCAGTCGAAAGCCACACAGCAGGCAAAGCTGTCTGCAAGCGTTGGCATCTATTGTTTGGTAGTAAAGAGCGGTTTTTTACTCGAAGAAAACAATTAGGCTTCAAAGACCCTTGGCTTTTTGTCTTTGCCTTTCACAAGTGCACTGGAAGGATTCAGTGGCAGGTTCTTGATCTCACTAATTTCTCTTGGCACACTATCCCTCCCATGCCCTGCAGAGACAAGGTTTTCCCCCATGGTTTCAGATGTGTTTCGATGCCCCATGAAGGAACTCTCTTTATTTGCGGTGGTATGGTCTCTGATGTGGATTGTCCGCTTGACTTGGTCCTGAAATACGAAGTTCAGAAGAATCGGTGGACTGTAATAAATCAGATGATAAGTGCTAGGTCTTTTTTTGCAAGTGGAGTTATTGATGGGAAGATTTATGTGGCTGGAGGAAACAGTTCAGATCTTTTTGAGCTTGACTCAGCCGAGGTTTTGGATCCTGTTAAAGGGAGTTGGCATCCCATAGCTAGCATGGGAGCAAATATGGCCTCTTATGATGCAGCAGTTCTCAACGGAAAGCTTCTTGTTACAGAAGGCTGGTTGTGGCCTTTCTTTGTCTCTCCTAGGGGTCAGGTTTATGACCCGAGAGCCAATAATTGGGAGAGCATGGCTGTTGGACTGAGAGAAGGCTGGACAGGTTCGAGTGTGGTGATTTATGGCCATTTGTTTGTGGTCTCGGAGCTTGAAAGGATGAAGCTTAAGGTTTATGATGCGGATACAGATTCTTGGGAACCAATAGAAGGACCCCCTTTGCCAGAGCAGATCTGTAAACCCTTTGCTGTTAATGCCTGTGATTGCATGATATATGTTGTGGGTAGGAACCTTCATGTTGCTGTCGGTCAAATCTCAAGGGTTAGCCATAAGGGAACTTGCGAGAAGAAGTGGAGCTTTGGTGTTCGATGGAATGTGGTTGATGCGCCAGATTGTTTCTCTGACTTAACGCCCTCAAGTTCACAGGTCCTGTTTGCTTAGCTGGTCAATCTCTCGTGTCATGTTCTGCCACTTTGTATGTCCTTGAATAAGTTCTGGTTAAATAGAATACCTAAGCTATATAAAGCGCATGGACGTGTGTAAAATGGCTTTGTGTTATTGGAATGTATTCAAGTATATGGTTGTTTTTCCTCTGTTTATATGGTTGTTAATCTTTTGTGTTCTCTTCCTTTCTTTACTTGATTTCTCATTGTGTGTTGCGTATACTATTGTACTCTTGCCTGGATACCCCTGATATTTTCCCCATGTTTTCGGACGAACTTTATATTTGGCACTATTTTTTTCATACATGTATTTGGCACTATTGAATACTATATATCTTTGCAACAGAGAAACTAGTTTATTCAGAACCGAAACCAGTAGTTGCTCTTGTATCGACTTCCTCTATTAACTGGTTTGTGCTGTATTCCGTAACTTTGTTTTCAGTAAGTGCCTATTTAGTGACAGTTTGATATTTCGTTTTTGAGAATTCTGATCAAAACCAAAGCATGAAGTCAATGAACTTCAAGAATCATAAGAACGAGGTCGGCAATGCATTAAGTGGGTAAGTGTGAACCATTGTTCTTTGCAAAGTGTTAGCTTAGCATTGATGTATCTTATCTGTTTATATACTAAGCATGGATCCTTATACTCGGTTCAAGCATCATGTTCGGTTTGTCTCTTGATTAATTTAATATGCTGCTCCCCTTACTAATGCAGAGCGTTAGTCATCTTTCCTTACTGCATCTTCTGCATCAGGCTAAATGTCAAGTTGCAAGTGATTTCTTACCCTCCTGCATATAATCTCCATTTTCCTTGGTAGTTTTTCCTCTGATGTATGCCTAAGATCTTATTCTCGAGACTTTTCTCTATTCGGCCACTATGTGACATACGATTCAGTTGAGCTAGCTACCTTTGCTCCTTATTGGGTGTCGTTCGAACAAATGACTACATAATCATACTCCAAATGAAGTAGATGCTAGGTTTACTTAATCCTCCAAGATTTTCTTTGGTTTACAATGTCCATAGTGTTTTCGTACATGATCTTAGTAAACCCTTGGACAAGTTGCTTTCGTGATAGGGCGCTGCATCAGATTTTTCAGCGCTTTGCAGTTATGGGGATCGACATCTGGATTGATCACAAAGTTGTGCGAGCTTCGAAGAAAAGGGTGAAGGTAGGTATAGCTGTCCTGGAAGGCTGGAACCAAACTGTTGGAGGGCCATGGCCTTAATTGAGTTCCAGGATTGTTCAATAATTGGGAGTTGTGGAGCATTTGTGTTATCTGTGGCTGAGAAGAGCTGGATTTGGGGTTGAAAAGGACACCACAACAGAGAGGATGAGGCAACAGCTAGTGCTACCAGAATAACAAACAGCAGCTTGGAGTTGAAGAGTTACGTGAGGGGAGAAACTCCTATATCCCTTGTTTCTTACCGCTCTCCTCTCTCTCATCACATGACTACCCATATGATGAGAGAGAGGAAGAGGGTTATGAAACGAGGGATACTAAGTATTATGCATGTAAGCTATTTACCAAAAGCTGAAAAGTAGAAGAATACATTGCGTTTTATGTGACTCTGATTCACCCATTAAATTCTCTTAAAAAAATTTGGTGCACATCCGATCGTTAAATTAAGCAGTGCATGACATACATTGACGTATTATTGAATCTTCGAAAACTAGATGTATTATGTGGGGCTATTGTTATTGATAACAATGTCAATGGTACCTCACAAAACTAGTAAACTGTAAATGGTTACTTCCTTTTGTCACGCCCCGATCCCAACATACGTCCAGGATCAACACATGACGTCATCAAATACTCGTATATCTAACATACCTTGCCTCCGGGATATGAATAAAGCACCACTCAAGGTCCAAATTGCATAGTAATTTCCGTGTATTTTATGGATGCATCTAACCTTCTCGTTAGACTGCATACATACCCTCAATAGGGATCAAGCCATTCGTAGTTCATCCTTCGCTAGAACTCAACATATATCACAACCCGTTCAAGCCAAAAGGCATAACATTCCTCCATCAAACATATGGACTTGACAAGCATGAATTATTTGATTCAAGCTACATAATGAACCCACATGACAATCAAGGTTTATATTTCATCCATCATATAAATCATTATGTTTCAACATAAAATCGCAATTCATAGCATGTAATATATCAAAGAATTGACAAAGCACAATAGTATCCTCTAGTTGCATTGATCACTGATCTAATTGTATTAATAACAATCATATTCAACATCATTCCACAATCACCTCAAGTAACCCATTCCATGAATCAAGGAGACACGATATTAACATTTAATTACATTAATCAGTCAACCAGATCACATAACAATGCACGAAATTTAATAAAGGAATTCTACATAATTCCCTGTTTGGATTCCAAGTAATAACCTGGTAATTCTAATTTATATTCACAAGGTCTGTTGTGGGTAATTCTCATTCACTCGAATCCAGGATTCTAGACTAACCTTATGGAAATGAGCAAGAGTAAGGATTCTAGACCACTTAACGGAATCCAAAATATCAAGCGTTTCTCGTAATCTACCCAGATTTGTCACATATAAAATCAATGCCTACATCATGGAAATGGTACATCGGGCCAATCAGACACTTAGATAAACTGCGAGGCTCGGGTGAGTGACAATAATACAAGTATGTGATATTTAGTAAAAACAGACCATCGATCATAATCTATAAACATCGAGTATAGAATCATGCTTTATGAAATCATAATCAAGTCACTGCAAACTCTGAATGAGTCGCCCAAACATCCAACGGCTTTTCTAATTCAACCCACAAGATTCTCAAAACCATCATTCATATGTGCATTAAAAACTAGGGCTAAAGGGACGCAGTTCGGCCGAAGCCTACATAAGTAACCAAACATGAAGTGGCCCCCCAAAGCGGATTAACCACGCAGAACCACCCCTGAGAAAGTAACCAAGTAGACAGTGACCCCTCAACACGGATTAACCAAGCAGAGTCACTTCTACAGCTGTTAGGAAGTGATCACCCAACGCGGATTAACTAAGCATGATCACTCCTAAGCATACGTGGCCATAAGGATCGCCCAACACGGATTAACCAAGCATGATCCATATATAGTATGATCCCCCAATGCGGATTAACCAAGCTGGGTCAAGATAACTAAGTAGGTAGTGACCCCCAACGCTGATTAACCAAGTAAAGTCACACATACAGAACTGTTAGGTAGTGATCACCCAATGCAGATTAACCAAAGCATGATCACCCTTACGTATAAATGGTCATAAGGATCGCCCAACGCGGATTAACCAAGCAGGACCATCCATGTACCACTGCTACATGGTGCAGTTAGATCAACACACAAACCACTTACCCTTATCTCATCCGCTATGATTTACCTCGTAATCACTTGCACTATCAACTTTTCATGATCACTATCTTATCATACAAGCATAAAAGTTCTACATAATACTTCTCATAAGATTCTGGGTTCACATCATCATAAAAACAATCATACACATCATACTAATCATACATATCTAACCACATTTCATAAACGTTTCCGAGCTACAGTCGATTCACAATTAATAAACATAGATCGATGCTAAAAATAAAAATAACAATTCAATAGAAATCACATTTAATGAACAAGTATAACTTAATATGGTGCCACTAATACATATATCGAGACACACATTAACTGGAAACGACACATCATCGTGATGAGCTAACTAAGCGCCATCAAGCCTCAACAACAAACTAGAGATAAACGACACTCTAGAGTAGAGCACGTTGACTAGAACGTCAACCGTCGATAAGGTAGGTCCATTAAGGTTAACAATCTAAGGTTATTCAATCCGAAAGATCCACACATCGGACTTCTGATCCGTAAGTTCTCAAAGGTCCAACAGATGATAACTATGGTGCTCACAAAGTTATACAACGATCCAACAATCGGATTGTCATCAATCATACAAACAAATGGTGGTCCAATTTGATCACCACACCAAACAATTGAATTTCGGGAAACCGAGCTAGACATAGATTCATAGGATCACTAGAAGGTATTTGGTACTTAGACAACACTCGTAGACGGTCCCACGCACCGCCACACGCGATGGTAGCCATGGTGAAGGGTTTGAAAACCCAAATTTTCAACCTTAACCAAAAAGGCTCAAATTTACGTGGTAACTAGAGCTCAACAAGGGAAACATTATTCACAACTAGGCCAACAACAAATTCTAACCGGAAACCATCCAAATTCATCGGGGAAAACCTGGTTTCTAGGGTTCTAAACAACTAACTCTAAAACGAATATGAAAGCACAAACCAAGCATACGAACTTGAAGATTATGAAGAGTAGATGAACTTTAATACCTCACTCGAAAGAAATGGTTGCCGAAATCACTGGAAAAATGACAAAATCGCTGGAAACCCATGGAACTTTGCTGCCTCAAACTGGAAAAATGGATAAGAAAATGGGAAATCTAACACTACAGAGATGTAGGGCTCGTCAAGAACTTTCCATGGTACCAAGATCATCCAAAATGGAGCTCGGATGAAGGAGATACAAGCGGGTTAAGTTTGTGGGTTAACGGGTCAAATTCTGATTCTCCCCCAAAATGGGTTAGCAACAGCCCTTTTTCTATTTTTTCAGAAACCTTCCCCTTTTTAATTTGATTCCTCATTCCTCCTTCCAACTGATTGGTCCTCTTATTTTGGCTTAAATCTAATTAGGCTTCTTCCTTGTGGAAGTTTAAATGATTTAAAATCTATAGTTTAGTAAAACAACTTCAAATACCCATAACTATACTGTTATAATCCGGACTCGTAAACGGCTTTCACCTATACATTTGTGGTTTCAAGATCTATTTGAAAATATAAATTGTGACATCCAAAGGTCTACAGATTTTAAATAATTAATTTCCAAACTTCAAACTTCGTAACTAGTTTAATTAAAATCTAAATTAAAATAAATTCTCGAGAAATAATATAAAATCTCAATAATACAAATACGTAGATTATAACAGTGAAATTTAGGAAAGGGATTTCACACCTTTCCTAAATTTTTATCATATACTGGCTTGTATTGTGTTTCTTAGTCAACATTGTTCATCGTAGTTCACCCATTTTTTATGAATTTTTTAGTTAAAATGGTCTTTGAGATTGACATAACTTCTCCCTTGGTTCTTGAGATTTGAAATCGATAGAAGTT